CTGTCGTCCTCCGTTCAAAATTTCGCCCTTCCTAACAGTTGCATGGGATAACTATTACATGGCTTTAATCATTTGAAATCAGTATCAATTCAAAATTGTTAAGACAGAGCTTGAAATAACAACCGATCACCGGTCAATGATCGGCAAGGAATTGCTTATGATCGGCAGAAAAGCAGAGTTTCGGTTTCCAACCTGAAAAAAGCAGGGAAAGTCGCGACTGCCGATCACCATGGTCGGGAACTTTGGGAACGTTATTTCAAGCCCTGCATGTAAGAATACAAATTTACAATTACATGTATCGAAAGGGCTTTACACAGTTACAGTAGATGAATACTCAATAGGACTTATGACGCTTCACAGCACACCACGCATATTTTGCATTTTCAGTGTTAATCCTTAAACTCATTGTTAAAAAGTAATCACCGTGGTGGTTATTGTAATTATTGGTATTGTTTTGCATCCACGTTTTGTCGTTATCGGAAAATGTATGGTTTGTCACTATTTTTTACTTGCATTAGTCAATACAGTTTGTAAATCTCAGAAGCGAAGGGTAGAACTTGCCAATAGGCAATAATCCAATAATATACGTTTCAAAAAAGACAAGAAAGCTTTTAGTTTTGCAGAGTTACATTCTCAAATGTTTAAGGCATGCACTAATAAAATCAAAGTATCATGAAATTATTTGAATAAACCACACCACATATATAATGCCATTTTCTTTTGCGGAAGTGAAGAATTAAGATTATATCACTGACACGGAAAGTTGACGATTCAACGGAAAATAGTCAATACGCTTCCCAACACATTCCATGGATTTTTTACTAATCCTATAGTTTATTGTTAGCAAGTGATTACTGTGGCGGCTATTGTTAACACTCGTATTGATAAAATTTGCAAGCGATTGTTTTTATAATATGTTATGTGAATGTAAACTGCCAGAAGAATACGACAACATGATTTTATGCGATCTCTGTGATGGTTCCACTTTAGATGTGTAGAATATGACACTAGTCTAAGTACCTCAAATGAGTAGTTATGCTGACTGTGCACACCACCAGCTGCTGAGAAGCCTAAAATGTGTATGTAATTTTGTCTCCTTGTAATAAATAAATAAATCACACAATAAATCTTTTCAACTTGCAATCGTTTTGTTTTTAGATCAAAAATTCAAAATTTATATGGGGGGGCGAAATTCCTAAAGGGGGGCGATATTCCTAGGAGATTCGCCCCGGGGGGGCGAATATCCTAGGAATATCGCCCCCCTTTTGAGAGGGGGGGGGGGCGAATCTCCTGGGGGGGGGCGAATTTCCTGTGACACCGGCAATTTTTATTTAACGAGTATGTGGCCATTTCGCATTGTTACGATATAAAAAGGTATCATTGAAAAGTTAAATAACTGTTCTTCTATGTAAAAATTGAATTGTTTAGCAAAGTTGATGATGCACGACAGCCTATTGAATTTCCATAGCGTTTTTTTTTTAGACATGCACCCTGTACAACTATTTGGAAAAGAAATTTCTCCTATTGCGCAGTAATAAACTTTTGGTTGTGGATACGGCTCTAAATTGCTTTGCAGTTACATATTATCTTTGCTTGCAGTTACATATTATGGTATACAGCCTTTGCACAGCCTCGTACCCAGGCGCTGTGTGTTGTTCTATGGCTTGCGTGGCCTTTGCGTGGATTAATTTTATCGATTTCGTGGTGAGGCTTCCCCGCGAATTCAGTCCATTTTCTCCCACGCGTGTCGTCCCGCGTGCGTGTCGCGCGACGGTGTAGCACGACAAAGCGCCTGGGTACGAGGCTGGCGTTTCAACAAAAGCTATGTTGGTGTTCCAGACAAGAGCCTAATTAAAATTATTTTGAATTGAACACCAACATGGCGGGTGTGACGTCATGTGCTTCTGGGGTGTAAACTAGGAAGTCAGGATAATTACAATGTTTCTGAAAACTTGAAAAGTCATTGCGGAAATATCAAATTTTTCAAACATATTGTTCATAGTTTTGCAGTTAATTTGACGCGGTTCGCGTTTAATTAATTTTGTTGTAAATTAGCAGTACGCTTGAAGTAGACGAAATTTGGAACTTTTAGATGAACTTTTGAACATATTACAGCCATTTTGGTCCAACCATACCACAAATCGCAAAAATTTCCGAGCTTTGTTTACGTTTCACGGTTTGTGACACAGCTAACAGTAGCTTGCCGGAAGCTACATTTTTATAATTAATGTCGTACATTTGTCGTAAATGGATGTCTCAATTGCTTATATACATAACACAGTATCAAAAAATAGTTTTGTCGATATCCCTGTATATTATTTTGTAGCATCTCAATTTATTTAATATAAAGAACGCAGACAAGTTTATACTTATTACTTACGATAAGATTGGGCCGAAATTTCGACCACATCACGCATTAATTGCCACAACTGTAAATTTGCCAACTTGGCAACTTTTTATAAACGTAAACATTGCCATCGACATTGACATTGTATTCAAGTAAATGTATTAAGACGATGACCTACGAATTGTACCTAAGACATAATAACTTTTAATCTTGAATTCAAATAAATTTATTGAAACAAAGGCTTTGTTATTAAAAGCTAGTATATCTCGATTATAGTATTATGCCAACAGCAAACTTCGCGCTTGTTATTATCCTTTTACTTCAATTACGGCACAAAAACCAAATATCACTCATACATTCATGCAATGATGCAAGTCATATATTACTATCCATATCAATAAAACTTATTGCGGCTGCCTGCATGTGCACCATAGATATCTTTGATGTGCACAGGCTACAATATGCGGGCCTTGAATAAATGAATAATCAAAACAATATTAAAAAAAATTCTGTCAAATTCTGCGACACCTATTGTGTATTGATTGTATACCGTCTGTTCACAGACTCATATACAGCACGTAAATTACATTTTTATATCAGAAAAATGCTGTTGGTATATGACTATGCTTTTATTGCAGATTAATTTTCATATAAAGATAGATTAAGGTTGAAATTATAAATCTAATATAGACGAGCGTGCTATAAATGTGGCACTACAGTTACTAGCCTATAGACAAACTTTTATATATAGACATGATATTGCATGATCTACTGCACGGGGATATTATATTTCATGTTATTTATAAAACAACGTGTCTGCCTATACTGGCTACAGTCATATATAAAAGAATAAAATATAGCTGTATAACTAAATTTCGTGACATAAATTGAG